TTTTGTTTTATGGAGTTAATCGATTTGTGCAATGAACGACTCAATTATCACGTTAGTAAAATAAGAAGATAGTAATATAGCAGTCAGAACGACATTCTGCTATTGATAACATAGCGTTGAAAACTGAAATTCCTGCACGAGTTTTCGCGAATAATTGAATACCCAGGAACTAATACCGTTAATGACCGTCCGAACTAATCACGAAATCTATACAAGATACATCGCGACACCCTCGTCACCTGCTCCCATTTAAAGGCGTGAAAGAAACGCTGGTTGAAAGGGCAACCATGTCACGAATGACTGCGACGATGCTTTTATGGAAAGGGTAACGCGTCGAATGTACCCGCGACAATCCGCAGAAGATATCCCCATTATTGCGTCCAACTCGAAGTCGTAAAATCCCCAGTGTACCCTCATTGAAAGTTACACGCAGATTGGCGGATGCCCGACGCGCGCTGTTTCCTCGTAATCACGATATGGCGCGAATCTCTCTGGCCTCCGGTCCCAAGCGATTTCCGGTGGGTTAAAAAATTACCGCGAAACCATACAACCGCGTGTCTTTTCGAAACGCCTGCTATTCGCGAGGCTCGCGCTTTCCTATCGACGACGAAGGCATTTGTTGCGCGGTGCATTAAGTAATTACAGCATTATTGTGATTAATTGCCTCCTCTGCGCACGACGGACCGTGTGTGCGCGGAGAACGCGTAGGCAGAGAAAGCGTAAGTCTCAACTGAACACTTAGAATAACAACGTTCGCGCGAGAGGGAAGAAAAGAAAAAATTCAAGTGTGTCGCAACCGCGATTTCTGAGAGACGAGATGGTGTTGTAGCAGAATTGTTACAGGCATTGGTGTTTTCCTAGTCGATCAAAGGAGTTCGAGTATTACTTTTGAGTATTAACCCTTTACCAACGGATAGAGGTTGGACACATAATTAAATTGAAAAATATTATTTATTTAGGTAATTATATTAGTATTATCATACGTATCTATTAGAATCGTTTCATGATTAATATTCATATAATAAATAGATGGCTCGACTGGTAAAAGGATAATTTCAGAAAATAGAAAACTATGCTTTTCTATGTGAGACGATGGTTTGGAGGTTTGAAAATAATGTGAAAGAGCATCTAATGAAGCAATAGTTGTAATTAAAAAGAAATATGACCCATATTCTAAGGACTTTATAAGTGCTAAAATCTACATTTTTCTAAAACGGTGCGAAAAGTCTTAGGCGTCAAGTCACCAGAAGTACCCGTATGGTCAAGAAGATATTCATTCCAAGGTAATATTTAAATAAACCATAGATATTGGTCACCTGCACCTCTGATAAAGAGGTAAGAGTTATATGATGACAGAGCAGGTGCATAAGCGAGTTTTCGAGCCATTCTCCTCGGAAACTTTTGTTTATTAAACCATAAGAATATTAATTCCAGTATCAATTTGTAATACTATCAACATATTGCAGTTCGATATACAACAAATTTCACAGAGATAATTGCTCACTTTCAATTTGCACCTGCCGAACCTCTATTATCCTCATCTTCCAGCAATATTTATCGATTATTTTTCTTTCAATTGCAAACCAGCAAATCCATCTACTCCTTTTTCTCCCTACGTGTAAATTCAAAACGCACCGCTATATGGCACTCGTTTGATCGTCCTAGCGTAAATCGAACGTCAACCATACACTTCAATCATGTGACCACCGCTCTAATTACGTCCATGATTATTTACAACGAACACTCGAAATCAATTTCACATATACAAAATACAAATTAACCCTGAATTTGGCAGCGTGCGCCAGTACCAAAAATCGTCGTTCGCAAGACGCAAGTGCGTGAACGATCCATATTTCGTATGGTAAATAAACGTAAACAACTTCTATGATAAAGTAAAAAAAATAGAAACTCACCGCATCGACGGAGCTAAACGAGTTGACGACTGTCGGTATCACGGTTATCCGAACATTCAATTGCACGATGCTCGGTTTTTCGAAACAATGCCCAGTCTCCATAGATCCAGAACAGCGCCGCGCAGTGAATCTATACAGAAAAAAGGGATACCAGTTCTGCTTTTTGTTAGCCGACGTGTGGGATACGTTTCAAAGTTTCCGTATGATATCGCGTATGACAACGTAGAGGAGATTAGTGCATTACACAAATATTTTGGAGCACGTTAAAAACATTGCTTCCACCTAAAACGATGTTCAGAGTGGCTTTTGATGGCAAAGCAGCTTTCGCTGCTCCGGTGTTACCATAATACGTGAGCGCTGATTCCGGCATACATTAACCTGAGCACGGTTTAATAAAGTGACGAAAAGTGTCTGTTTTAGTCGCTTGAATTATTTGCGACAATTGTAGAAATATTTTCTCCTAAATAAATTGACTCAAAATAGTCAAACATTGTAATTTCGATAGTAATACTTTGATATTTTATTTAATATTTAAGTAAATTGATATTCAAATATTTGTCATTGGTAGTAGTAATATAGTCACGTACTGAATAATTCTATCTCTACTTTTCCGAACAACCTCGACATGTATAAATTTTGATAAATTTTCTATATACCGGTTATAAACGTTTAAAATTGATGAATATACATTATACACGCTTCTAAGAGAACAATTTACGTGACTGAGAACGGCGTTCTTTGCTATCGTCCTTGTTTCGTTGAAACATTAGTAAACGATTTCTTACCTAAGATGAACGTTTCGTTGGAATTTCACATCGCTGCCGATTTCTGCTTTGTTCGAGTCTCTTCTTCGTGCTTCGTATTACACGATTATACTAACTTTTAAATATTTTTAACCGACTTCGAAAAGGAGGAGGTTACTCATGTCGACATGTTTTTTTTTTTTTTTTATGTCTGTTCGCCGATTACGCCGAGATGGCTTAACCAATCGGAATGAATCGTGTTGCATCTTGTAGAACATGCTCCCCCGGTGGTCCCATTATCATGACTTTTTGCGATTTGTCATTTATTACCCGTTTTTTTTTTTAAACAGAAACATTTTGTCTTGCTTCTTACTCCGAGACGGATGGACCAATCAGATTGAAACTTCTTGCATCTAGAAGAGCATTTGCCGTTTGGTCTCATAACAAAACATTTGTCCTTGTCTTATTTTTTACCACTTTATATCACTTTTTATCGCAAAAAGCGTACTATTTCACGTATATTTGGCCTGAAACCGATGAAATCGATGAAACCCCTTACATTTTGCTGCCAGAGAGGTTTTCGCAATGATCACAGATGCAAAAATTTATGAATTTCTGTATCGTTTGTAACTATTGTTATCGCAAAATTCCTATTATATGATGTAACTCGGTGATGAAATTACCGAGCGCGATGGAACCTTCCGTATTTTATAATAGATGAATTCGTGATGTTCCCACTTGCAATTATATAGGGTGTCCAAAAAATGTTGGATGTCCTTAAATAGGGTGTTTCAGGGGGGGGGGGGGGTGATTTGAAACAATTTTTTCTTAACGAAAATGTTGTTCGGTATACTCACGCTCTGATTGGTAGGGAGTTTCTGTTTCTTAAATATCTCCTTAACAAAGCCTCGAGCAACATTTTCGCTAAGAAAAAATTGTTTCAGCCCCCCCTCCTCCGCGGAACACGCCTTTTCAAGAACTTCCAACGTTTTTGGGTCATCTTCTATATTGCTTATACCTGTTGTCATTGCATGAAAAATATTGGTTATATATTGCCACTAAAAAGAGTGAAATAAAATAATTTCTTGGAAAAAAAATTTAACCGAATCCAAAAAAGGTACAGTCAAAAGTATGAAACAATTTCTAGTTAATTCTTATGAATACGCACTAGCTCTAGATATAATTGTTTAAAAGTATGGGAAAATGCAATGAAAAGCATAAAATAATTACTAGTTAACGTATATGAATCTGCATTATCGGCAGAGCAGTCTGTGTTATCGGCCGAGCACTCTACATTACCGACAGAGTGATCTGCATTACC